TTTTTTTAAATGTTTTTTGTGCAGGCGACAGTCTGAATGTCACTGTTGTCTCTCCTGATTTTTTTTTTGTACATTTGTATGTACAAATTGCAAGTGCAAGTGCTGACACATAGTGCATTTTGCCACAGAAGTCATTTCCTGTTTGGGACTACATGACAGGGCTGTGCGGCCATATCCCTATCAAATGGCAATTCAATGCGCTATCCTGGCGTAAACCAGGCTCGGTCAAACACAAGCACCTGCGAACCTTAACCAAGGTTCCCCCCAAGTCGCATTCGTTAGTGAATGAATCAACAGTGTACACCTCTACAATGTGTAACAGTTGTTAATCATTTGAAGCAGACCTCAACCATGTCAAGGTTGAAAAACTTAGCTTCTCATAGAGTTTATGTGTCAACTAATTGTGTTGAAAATTTGGTATGAAAACAAATATTTTATATCGCAAACTGAAAAAGAAAAACTTTTTGGAATTCGGCATCAGCAGGAATGCTGATAATTAGATTATTGTGCTTCATTCAGTTTAATAAAAAATGTTTCTCAAATAAACTCAACTGTTTGATTTAAATTGAATCCTAGTGTTCTTGTCAAAGCCTCTTTGTTGGTTTTTAGCATTGTTTGCCAGAGTTGGAGCATTTAAAAGTTTGTGATCTAATATTCAAGTCTGATGTTGTCAATGTACTAGTGTTGTGTTGAGGATGAGACAATAACTTACCGGGTAATTGAATTACATTACATTACATTACATTACATGAAGCCAAACATCAATTTTCTCAAACTCATTGATATTATTTATAAAAACTTTTCTCAAATAATTTTTTGGAAATATTCATTGATTCTTTTGAATGTTATCATTTTCACTAGCATTACATAAAAGTTTATTGCATTATTATATATTTGCACCTGTTTCTGTGATTAAACTAAACTCTCACAATGTGTATGAGTTAATATCATGTGATTTTGATTATTATATTTATGTCACATTTACGTTATGCACCCTTATTGTTATTTGTTAAAACCTTGTACGGTATATTGTCCCTCCTGCATGCTTAATGTTTTTTTCCCCTCCTGCATTTCTATTTCACTTGCAGATTAATTTTACATGGCTTCACTAATTTGTATGTATTAGCCGACCTAGACCTAAATGACTTTGACCTTCTGCTTACATTGCGTATAACATTCGAGGATTTCATGATCTTCAGGAGCAATTTAAAAGAATTACACCAAGCAAAGAACCAAGTAGATTTTAGAAGTGAAGCATGGAGACATTACGTTAGAGCAACGAGAACACCAAAGATGACGTTTCGTAAGTCAACAATTACATAATTCAATCTGGGTATCTGTGGCATGTCAATGGATTTGTGGTGTAGCTGTCAAAGTTTGGTGTGGTTTCTAAGTGCCACATACAAAATACCTACTTGTCTGTCTTAGCGACCATGCTCGACTATGCACCAACCCCGCAATAACATTCCAAATTAAACCATCAAATCATGGAACCCCGTCATTGAACGTCGTTTTACTTTTCTGAATAGTGTCCATCCTGACTATAGTGAATGGGTAAACTATAATTCAACATGACTTGTTCGCGCTCGGGAAAAGTGTTAAATACGTTTTCCATACTCAGTTTGCCATTCAAAAATCTTTTTTTTTTGTTGAGTCAGTGCCAAGAAATCAAAAGTTAAACATTTGTAATTCACTTCGGTAACGTTTTTTGAAAAATTACATTGTCAGTATTCAGAAAGACTTGTAAATTTGTGTGACAGTGTCAGTACAACACAAAATACTGATTGGTCATAACAGGCTAGACCTGTCGGGTCAGAGGGCATTGTTACAGGTCAAATCATTCAGAAAACATCATGGCAGAAGTTGCTTTGAATCAAAAGTTTGTGTTTTTTCAAAAACATTCAACATAGGTAATTGTGAATTGTAAAAAAGTGTTGTAGAAATCAAAGACGATCATTTCACAATTTTCATTCCACCAAAAAAGATGTACTTTTCCCTCTAATCTGGCACATGATTAACAAAATTATCATTTGGCAAATCTTTCACAGACTTTCTAAAAAACACCTAACCTGGGCGATAAGTTGGACAAGTATGGTATCTGCAAAATACTTTGTTTGTTTACACAAAATTTAAATTTAAATTTTTAATCTTTTTATCATATCTTCACAATAGAGCCGTTGGATTCGGGAGATCTTTTTCTTGTTTCCACCTGATTGTTGAAAAAAAAAATGTGCCAGAAATAAGTTTAGCATAATCTGCTGTGTATTCACCTCATTCCAATCAAAATGTCAGAGTTTGTTTTGTGTTACATTTGTAGTCACTTCTATTATTTTCTAATAAATCATTTCCCACCATTTTAATGTTGTTTTTCCTGCTGAAAATAAAATACAGTATTTTTAAGGAGGATTCACTGAATTTGAACGAAATATTCTTTGCCTGATGATAAACATGATACAACAAACTAATTTATTTCTGAACTAGCTTGACAACTTTAACAGAATATTGTCAATGCAAACTATATTCAGCATAGCTTGAAATTGTAGAGCGCCACCAAGAGTTGACAATCACATACAACTGTGGCTCAAAATTATAGCAGCTGTTGTAATATTGTAGATTTCACATTCTATCAAAGTTGAATGACTCAGAGATTGAGAGTTTTACCAATTCAGCATTATTCATCTGGTTGATACTTACATTTATATCATACTGTACACAATCAATCATTGAGAGGCTGAATTCCAATCAAGTGGCAATATATTGCTGCTATTTTGTAAATTATTCCTGTTTTTTTTAGCTCCGCTGTCGACTTTGTCGAGCGGAGCTTATCATATGAGTGATTGTCCGTCGTCGTCGTCCGTCGTCGTCGTCCGTCGTCCGTGTCAATGTTTTACTTTTTCGACTTCTTCTTGAAAACTACAAGCCTGAATGCTTTGATACTTGGTGTATATGTACCTTGGGTA